CCCCAAAACCCCAAAACCCCAAAACCCCTTTAAACTTGCTTAATTGAAATTTTCTTATGATAACGTCCCTGTCAGAACAGAGTATCAAGCAGATCTACCTGTCACCTTTATTAGAATCTGACTCTCCTTATATTGTACAGATCATAAAACTGAAGGACTTCGGTAGAGAGAAGAAAAAAGTCCGGTACAGAATCAGTATCTCAGACGGCCAGTACTCCATACTGGCACTTGTGAGCCACTCTCTTATCCAACAAATGGTAAGCCATGATCTTGACAATCTTTAGTGATGTGAACTCAAACTATATGATATACTAAGGATCCAAGGGTATGTAAAGGAGAAAGTCAAGCTAAACACGTAAGATTTTACTAACATTATAGAATTCTGAAGATCAGTGCAAAGCCAGAATGACTCTATACCGGCCTCAGGGAGGCTATTGGTCTTGGAAACGGCATCAAAAATATTAATAGCATTGATGATAACTCTCTGAAATTTAGTAAAGAAATTGTTGATGTTCATATTCCTTCATACAGAAAATTAAAAGAGATAATAAGAAAGCATTCTCCTGTCAAAAAGCCAAAGGTCGATTTCTTCAAGGAAATGAAAGAGGGCAAACTCTCTAAAGGAAAGTCTTCAGTCGGGAAACTTTCAAATTCTAATGAAGAGACTCATGACTCAGAGTATTCTTACCTAAATCGTATCCAGTATTCAGCAAAGAATTGGAAAATTAAGGTCCGGATTACTAAGAGAAACCAAGTAATAAATTTTAATAGCTGCAAAGGTGCGGGAAGCATTCTAAATATTGAACTAATCGATTCTTACGGCAACCAGATCCTTGGAGTGTTCTTCAACAAAGCTCTTAATAAATTTGATGGCCTTCTCAAGGAGAAAAGAGTGTATATAATGAGTGGAGGGAAGATCCAGCTGTCACATAAAAGTACGCATTCTACTATTGACAATAAGTACTGTATTAATTTTCCTCCTGAAGCGTCTATAAAGGAGATTATTGATGATAACTCGATCCCAATGCTGAACTACAATTTCACTAGTTTTAATAAGATTCATCTGACTCGTGATGGAAGCTTTATTGACATAATAGGAGTTGTTCATAGTATGAACACCCCAATGACCTTCCACAAGAATGATGGGAGGTCACAGACCAAGAGACAGATCACAGTTGTAGATGAGTCTGGAATTCTGATGCAGGTATGCTTCTGGGGAGATTTCAAATTCTTTGAGTCTCTTGAAGACAACCTCCACCAAGTCATTGTAGTCAAGCAAGCAAAGGTCAAAACTTATGGAGGTTCTAAAAGTCTCAATTGATTTGAAAACGTTGAGGTCCAACTCGAGCCGGAAATCCAAAGAGCAGATGAAGTCAGCAAATGGTTTGAAGAAAATCTCAAGAAAGATCTTGAAGCTAAAGAGAAAAGAATCAAACAGTATAAGAATGATAGTAAATCAGCAGATAAAAAGCCTAAAGATGACACATATCTGATAAAAGAGCTCTTATCATCTCTTGATGCAGTTCAGGAGTTTAGTGATGGAAAGATAAAATGCAGCATGTCTAATGAACTCTTTGATACCACAGAAAGTTTCAGGAATCCTAGACAACCACAAGTTTGATACATCACAGTGTCAGGTTTCATCGAAAGTCTGAGCTACGAGAAGATCGAGAACACGATCTACCTGTCCTGTCCCAAACAAGACTGCAAGCGCAAGGTCTTCGAGCGGGATGGTAAATACAAATGAGAAGCATGCAGGGAGATTTATAACAAGTGTAATGTAAAGTACGCTCTTACTGTCAAAGTAGCAGATCCTACAGGAAGAGTCTTGGTCCAGTTTTATGATGAGTGAGCAGAGAGGGTCATTGGGAGAAGAGCAGCCATGATCAAAGAGTTCCTGGATAAGCAAGAGTTTACAAAGATTAGAGATATTTATAAACGTTGTAGGTTTAAACCTTTTACATTTACGCTTAAGTTGAGACAGAGTAGTTATAGACAAGAATCAAGAGTCCAAGCGATTGCTTATAAACTTCGAGAGGTGAATTATCAACATTCGAATTCTGAGATTATTAAAAGGATCAATATGTATCTTGCTCCTCCATCAGAATCAACTTAATTTCTAAGGTTTTCAACATTTACCAAAATTAAAGGGGTTTTGGGGTTTTGGGGTTTTGGGG